GGAGCGTCCAGCCTCGGCCTGAGGGCTTTTCCGTAAGGAACACCTTTAACCCGGCCCCAAGCCCGCCATGGCCTCGGCAGCTGAAATCCAGCCCGAACCAAAGCAGCACGTTTTAAGAACGAAGGCTCGGTGGCGCTTCCTGTAGTGGAAAGAATTGCAAGACGGTGATAAGAACTTTGCTTCCTCGGAAAAGGAGCGCTTGGAACCGTCGTGGTCCCTTCCTGTATGTTGTTTTACATCCCTTTTCATAGAGCCACTGTTAAAGCAATGGAAAAGGCTGTCGGCTTCTTCCATGTTTTAAAATGTTGTTTTCGTTACCACAGGAGCTGAGCCAATGACTCTGGGCTCCCCGGCATCTCCAAAACCAGGAGCTAGCGCTCAGTTTCTTCCTGGATTCTTGATGGGAGATTTACCTGCACCAGGAACTCCTCAACCACGTGCTCTAAGCGGCCCTTCAGTTGGTGTAACGGAAATGAGGTCTCCACTACTTGCAGGTCAGAATTTGTTAAATGCTGAAAATTGCCCTTAAAAGTAGCATTTTGCTTTGTCTTCTTGTTCTGCGTGACTGTTGCAGATTTGACTTCTTGTTGTGTAACTTGCCATAAATGACCCCTGGTTGTTGAAGAAACAGTCAGCTGGATTGTATTCAGTGGAGTTTGGCTGGATTTGTCCAAGTAGACTGAAGTTTAATGAACGTTTTAAACGTGGCAGCTTTGGTAGCAGGAAAGGTTGCTGTTAGAGGGAAGGCAGTATGAACCTCTCCTAATACAAAACCAGTGTATAGCGCTCCTTATGAGGCCGTTGCACGTACAGCTATCGGTGTTGTCTCTCTGTTAAAAGAGGGGCGTCTGCTGCCAAACTACATGCAGCTTGTGCCAGCTGGTGGTTTCTTTGCAGTGAGGTCTAAAATGTCACTTACAGGTTGTCAGACTTACACAGACGAGACAGAGCAAAAATAAAAATTACTTCTTAATTAACTTGCTAATTACTTTTTCATTAGTGTGTAGTGATTGTATTTATGGTCTGGATGTCTGCTGTAATTGGACCTTTCCTAAGAGGTGCTTATCTCTTTCCAACCACCTAATTGCTCCGACCAGAAAAAGTCCCTACCCATGGTTATAAGATGGTGGTATTACATGTCTGTTTTGTTCTCTGAGAAGTATGAGGGAGTAGTTAACAGCTTGATTGATTGATTTGACGTGACGAGTGATCTTAGCATTTATATTAAATCAGTTGGAGTAATCCAAGTATACAATGGTGTTAGTGTGCTTGTCATTTTGAAGGAGGAATTGAGGGTTAAAGTACTGCAAAATAATTTTAAATACTCTTTTCTTTCCATTTCAAGCAGAAATGGACTTGATGATCCCTATGGGTCCCTTCCTACTAGAGATACACTATGATTGGTGGTCTGCTGGTCTCCTGGCACCTGCGTAGTGTTTCATTGTTGACTGAGGTTAAACCATGACATCAGAGGTGTAAACATTTTAGATGTTGCTCATGTCAGGAGGTAGTTTCTGACATGTATGTGATGTTCTTATTTAGAACATTCAGGCCGGAAATGTTTGGTAGGCCAGATGGCATTGCAAACCCCCAGTGACACAATCAGCAGTCTCTTATGGCTGAATTTACTGTTGAAGTGTCAAGAACAAGTAGCAGTGGAGTAAAATTACCAGTTTTCTCATGCTCTTCATTTGTTCCGTTGAGTTGCAGGAGCGTCTCCCCCCCAGCAACGGGTAGTCCCTACGCATAAAGATAAAAGTGGTGCTCCGCCAGTTAGAAGTATATATGATGAATTATCTAGCCCTAAACTTGGATCAACGCCTCTGACCTCAGGAAGACCAGTAAGTGGTTTAGGTATTGGCCTGTTCTTAGCAGAAGACGTGGGGTAGCTTACTACTTCAGTGAATTCTTTAGCTCACTTGTGTAAACTGATGGCCTTTCACCGAATGAGCAGTCTCCTTATGGAGTGTTGCCTTCTGAGAAGTTTATTCTGAAAGTTCAGGTTCTCTGTGAAGGACAGAATCCAGTACTGTCTTAAAGGACTACTTATTTAAAAAAAAAATAAAAGAGCTGCTATCAAAATGCATGTTGATAGGTCTACAGTGCTCCAGTTTGTTTCATCTTGTATCTTACAAATCATAGAAAGGGAAAAAGTCACACATAGCTGTCGGCTAAGCTGATTTTACCTCCCCTAACTTTATAGATTCACAGAATGGTTGGGGTTGTAAGGCACTTTAAAGATCATCCAGTTCCACCCCCCCTGCCATGGGCAGGGACACCTTCCACTAGACCAGGTTGCTCCAAGTCTCATCCAGCCTGGCCTTGAACACTTCCAGGGATGAGGCATCCATAGCTTCTCTGGGAAGCACTTCTTCCTGATATCTAGTCTAAATCTCCCCACTTTCCATTTAAACCCATTAGCCCTTGTCCTGTCACTACAGGCCCTTGTAAAAAGTCCCCCCCAGCTTCCTTGTAGCTCCTTCAGGTACTGGAAGGCTGCAATAAGGTCTCCCCAGGGCATTCTCTTCTCCAGGCTGAACAAGCCCAATTCTCTCAGCCTTTCTTCATAGCAGAGGGGCTCCAGGCCTCTGAGCATCTTCTAAAAAAGCAGTAAAAGTGTTTTGGATCTTGAAATTCCTCTCTGTTAAATAACTGCTAGCTGCTAAAACTTGAAGTAGGCTTCTCTTCAGGGCAGTGGCACTGAGTAGTCGGGAGGGATAGTCAGTCTAGTGATGAGGGAAACAAGTGGGGGTTACGCTCCCGTGATTTCTGAGCCCTTTAGACAGTGAGAATCAGATGCTGGTAATGTATGACACTAGTGTCCTTTCCATCAAGATGCACATGAATGTGTGACTAGTGAGACGCCTGTTTTGAAAAAGTTAAACCAAGGTTTCTGAGTATTGATACCCAAAGCTACTTTGTTTCACAAAGCATGTGTCATTGGTGATGGGTAATGGGCTTTTCACTTCCTATTACCTAAAGCTCATCCTAAGCTTAAATGAGCTTCATGTATACAGGTAGCTCTTTCTTGTCAGATGGTAAAATACTGTAGACAGACCCTGAATCCTGTTGGTTGTGGTGCTTTCCCTCCTGTAGTCTCTCTGCACTCCCATACTTGCATTTAAGCCGCTGGTCAGGAAAGTGAACTGCATTGTCTTCTGAGGCTTAGTAATGAGCTGGAAATTCCAGACTGCCATGGCTGAGGGCTGCTGGATGTCCAGGCTGTGTGCTAGAATGTGAAAACATTGTGAAGTAACTTTCAGTTAAAGCTTGTAACAATTGTGTATGAAATAGACATGTAGTGTCTGCTCTTACTTTTAGAAGTTAAGGGTAACGTAAGGCAAACAGTTAATATTCTTGCTTGATGCTTAAGTCACCTGGAAACAACCTCCTCTGCTCTGAGAAGTGTACCTGTAAGAATGATTTGTTACTGTCTGTATTTTAATACAGGCCAGCTTTTCTCTGACACAGAGCCCAGTGGTTGGAGCTATGCCATCAACTCCTGGAACAGGTAGGTGTCCTGTCAGAATATATCATCTGTTTTCTTACTGCTTGCCTTAATGCACAATCATCATCACTGTTCAAGCTGCATCAACTCCTTTCTAGTTGATGGAGTTGCATTTAGAAGCTTTGCAAAAGGTATCATGATGTGAATAGGAAATGCTACAGCTGAGATTTCGATGAATCATAGACTCTGAGCGTAGTTGGAAAAGATCTTTAAGGTCATCAAGTCCAACCGTTAACCTAACACTGCCCAGTCCACCACTAAGCCATGTCCCTAAGCACCACTTCTGTATATCTTTTAAATCCCTGCAGGGATGATAACTCCACCACCTCCCTGGGCAGCCTGTTCCAATGCCTGACAACCCTTTCAGTGAGGAAATTTTTCCTAATATCCAATATAAACCTATAAACCTCCCCTGGCACAACTTGAGGCTGTTTCCTCTTGTGCTATTGCTTGTCTCTTGGGAGAAGAGACCAACCCCCATCCCTCTGCAACCTCCTTTCAGGTAGCTGTAGGGAGCGATAAGGTCTCCCCTGAGCCTCCTGTTCTCCAGGCTAAACCACCCTAGTTCACTCAGCCCTTCCTCACAGCACTTCTGCTCCAGACCCTTTCCCAGCTCCATTGCCCTTCTCTGGACTTGCTCCAGCACCTCAGTGCCTATCCTGTCATGAGGGGCCCAAAACTGACCACAGGATTTCAGGTGCAACCTCACCAGTGCTGAGTGCAGGGGGACAATCCCTGCCCTGGTGCTGCTGGCTACACTGTTCCTGAGGCAGGCCAGGATGCTGTTGGATGCCTTGGCCACCTGGGCACACTGCTGGCTCACATTCAGCTGGCAATGGTCCAACACCCCCAGGTCCTTTCCTGCTGGGCAGCTTTCCAGCCACTCATCCCCAAGACTGCTGGGAGTTGCTGGGGCCCAAGTGCAGGGCCTGGCACTTGGCCTTGTTGAACCTCATACAGTTGCCTTCAGACCATCAATGCAGCCTGTCCAGATCCTTCTGCAGAACCTTCCTGCCCTCAGGCAGATCAACATTTCCACTTAACTTTGTGTCACCCGCAAACACACTGAGGGTGCACTCAATCCCCTCGTCTAGGTCATTGATGGATATACACAGAACTGCCCCCAGTACTGAGCTGAGGAAGCCCTGATGGGTCGCCTTCCATCTTCATAAGGGTCCTGACTTGTGTAAGAACTTAAGCTTAGCAAGAAGCCACAATTCTGCTGTGTTGTTCCTATCTGGCCTCTGTATTAAGCTGCTGGTGTTCAGAGGTCAAGGAGAAAACTATTGCTAGTCATAAAACTTACTAACATGCTTGTAGATGTGCATTTGGGATTGACTTACTGTTTGTCTGTGTCTGCAGTTAAATCTCCATCAAACTCTTCCATACAAACTGAAACGCTTGATACTGAATTTATTTATACTATAGGCTCTTAAGCTTATCTGTCTTGCCAAAGTAATTTGTTAAACAATGTCATTTCAATTTAACAGCTTCAAGCATGTTCAGTCCTGCGAGTATTGGGCAGCCTAGGAAGACTCCTCTGTCTCCTGCTCAGCTAGATCCTTTTTATACTCAGGGTGATTCCCTGACTTCAGAAGATCAGCTTGATGGTACATGGGTGACAGTATTTGGGTAAGTTGATTTCCAAAGTATAAGAAAAAACATGGGTGGCTTCTTTGCACCGTATGGACAGAAGTACTTGGATGTTGCTGTTGTCTGACATTCCTGGGTTCCACAGGAGATACAACTGCAGTTAAAGGCAGCGAATGCATAGATTTTAGTGAAGGACCTTACCTTCACCTACATGCTCTTTGTTTCTGTTGTTGTTGTTAGAAAAGCAAGATTCTACCCCTGAGGTGTGTGTTGAAGTAAAAATGCCTGGAAGATAATATTCCTCAAGTTGCTGCTTCCAAAATGGCATTAACACACTGGTCTCTTGGATTTCTAAACACCCTTCCTAGGCTTGTATTTTACTACCAGGATTCTTAAACTGCTCATAATAATTTTTTGAGTATTTTTTCTGCCTTTCAGATTTCCTCAAGCATCGGCTTCCTATATTCTTCTACAGTTTGCTCAGTATGGGAACATACTAAAGCATGTGGTATGTCTTAGGTTGAGATTTTTTTTTTCTGAGAACAGTCTGCTTCATTTTTTAAAGGGCTAAATCTCACAATTTCCACTTATTCTCAAGCAGATGTCCAACACAGGAAACTGGATGCATATTCGGTATCAGTCCAAGCTTCAAGCCCGGAAAGCCTTAAGCAAAGACGGGAAGATTTTTGGTGACTCTATCATGATTGGTGTCAAGCCATGTATAGAGAAAGTAAGTAAACAGCTGCTTTTCTTTACATCCAAGGCCCTCCACTTCTGGGATTCCTCTTTATTTTCCCTGACCTCTTTCACTCTTTTCTTTTTGAATTGCAAAGCATAGCTAGTTCAGTTATACAGTTTATTATACCTGACAGGAGTGAGTCTGAAGTAGTTGACAACATTTCCT